CTGCTGAACATGTAGCTACGTGTAAATATTTAATAGACGAATTTGAAAGGAACCTTGCTAAACAAAAAGAAATAAAGGCAGCTCAACAGCAGGCTAATGCAAAAGCAGCAGGACGAGGGAGTCATCCTGCTCAAAAAACTGTTATAAAAACAGAAGCTAAACCTGGGCCAAGTACTGCAGCTCAAGTAGGGTAAGGCAATTATGTTTTACCCATAAAAATTTTTTATAAAATTGTTGGTGTATTTTTTATAATTAATGAAGTTATATTGTAAATGACAAATTTTGCATATAGGCGACCTATGCGTTCAAGTAAATCAAAAGCAATGGATCAAGTAAAACAATGGTGTGGTTCCATGAAAGATGAAGATAATGACCGTATGTGTATTTTTATAATATAACATATATTAGTGTTTCTAATTTTTTTAAGACCCTGCATGCATTGCAAATGTAATCAAAATTGATGAATCTATTTAGTACTAGGTAAGAGAAGGATGGACTATTCCGAGAGCGATTCTGAGGACGGTGGCAGTAGCGCTGCCAAACGAGCGAAAGGCGATTCAGGTAGTGACGAAGACTGGACTGGAGAGTCTGAGGAGGAAAGATTATTGGGTCGAAGCGACGTCATTCAGCGAGCATTTAATCGTGCTAATGCTCAGTCAAACGGATCTAACAGAGCAAGTGGTTCGTCTACAGATCTTGCAACTTCATTGGGACTTCAGTCTCCCGAAGGAGCAAAATCTAATCAACCACCGGTTTTAGTCGCCAATGCCAAAGGAGTGGTGAAAGTTGATCCGAAGCAAATGCCAAACTTAACGTCCGGCGTGTACGTAATGTCACGGAAAGATGGCATCATCAAGTTGGACTCGTCCCCTAGCGGGAAACTGACAGTAAAAGGATCGCCGACTACACAAGGTGTTTTGATGGTTCAAAATCGAGATAATACTAACGTAGTGAGAAAACAAGTGATATCTGCATCACAATCGAATTCTGTTACGCCGGTAAAAGTGGTTTCTAAAATGGATGGAAGTCAAGTAGTAACGCAGATGAAAGTAGTTTCTAAGCCTGTTACAAGTAAAGCAGGAGGTACACAGAAATCAGAGCCTATAAAGATCCAGCCGAAACCAGATCCGACACAGTTACCGCAGATACATGTCGTGACCGCGGTGCAGGCTCCTATAACTTTGCAGCCAAGAATAAGTACAGGAATACGTCCTGGACCTGTTACAGGCCAACGCAGTGCGGACGGTCGTCCTTTGTTACCGAGACCTCCACTGCGTGCGACAACACCAACTAGCGTACTTGGAATTGGATCAACAATCCGCACACCTGTTAGGGCGCCAGCCCCGAGACAAGTTCAGTCCCAGCAAACTCGTCAGGTGCTACAAAAACGTACGACGGCTGTAACTACGCAAAGTAATTCGGTGAGTTCTGGAAGTGTTACTCAGATTAGACCGAAATTTACGGTGCTTAGTCCACAGCCAAAACAAGTGGTAAAGTCTGGAACTAGTCCAGTGCAACAGGCTAAACAGTCGCCGAAAACACCAGTTGGTAAGCCACAGTCATTATTATCTCCGCAGCAAAAGTTACTAATGGCAAAAAGAAAAGCTCAAGAAGCAGCGGATATGATTAAACCAGGTGGCCGTGGCCTCCTAGCAGCCGCTCGTGCTACCGCCGGCCGAGGCAGAGGGAAATTGGCTGAAACGTCAGCGGCAGCTACTCCAGGAAACAAACTGAAAGAAAGTAAATTGGCTGAGGGTGATGGACTTCACATGGAATTCCACGAGGTAGGCTCTGAAGAAAGTAGCAGCGAGGGTGAACCAGAGCTTCCACCTCCCGAAGGCGACACCATTGCCACTACGGAACCTGATAGCCCTCCTAGGCCCTTTACTCTCTGTCCGTTGACGGGACGTATCATTGGACCAGATGGTGAACCCGTTGAACAACCAGCCGAACCAGAACCCGAACCTGAACCTGCAGGAACACCATTGTCCACTATCAAAACTGCTACAACTACATCCGAGAGTATAGATGTCACCGCCACAACCACCACCACAGAATTGGTTCTACCTTCCCTTGATTCTCTTACAGAGGGTGGTGGAATAATGAGAGTCGAAATGAGTCCAGGTGGAACGACAGGTACGATTGTTCAAACCAGTGAACCAGCGCAGATCAATCTGACGAATGTATCCGTTCCGGCACCGGATCTTCCATGCTTGGACGATACAGCCCCTGCTGTAACTACACCAACCACAACCACAGCCACACCGTTAACAGAAACAACACCAACCAGTGAATCTTCTATTGCAGCAGGATTAACTACAGCTACAGTTACTTCAACTAGCACAATAGCAATCGCATCTACTGATGTAACCAAGGCTGAAGAAAAATTACCGGAAGAGAGGAAAGTAGCTGAAGATACATCGAACTTAGTAACAATAACTGGGGAAGACGGTGTTGTTTATCAAGTAGCAGGACAAGCCGAAGATGGTCAAACATTATTGGTGACGCGAGACGCTGATGGCGAGCAACAATGTGTATATGTTACCACAGAGCAACAAGGGGACGAGGGATCCGTATTAACGTTAGACCATGCTGTGGCGGAAGCTGTAGCTCAATTGATACCTGATCAAGTAAACCTGGCCTCGCAGTTTTATGTGAAGGAAGGTGGAACGGAACCTACAGAAAATCCAATGGTCATGTCTATCATGGACAATACAAATACGGGGGATGTGGCGGAAGGACAGGAAGACGGTGATGGTCACGGCCAAGTTGTAGCTCAAGTCGTACAAGCGGAAGAACCTACTCCAGGTAATGTACCAAATTTAATCATTTGTGTTGTGCAAATTTATAAACTAATACACCAAAGAGAAAAAATAATAATAATCAAAAAGAACTCTGCTGTTGAAAATTAATATTAAAATTTTATTACATTATCTTAGGTGGCACTAGAAGAGTAGTCCTGTTGTTACCTGACGGAAATCTTATGATGACAGAAGTGACGGAAGAACAATATGCTGCGCTCGGACTTGGCAAGTGAAGAGACACTTAACGTTAATATCATGCGGAATGAATAAACGATCATGCATCGAACTATACAATTTACAATGGAAGTTGTACGCTTAAAGGGTGACCGTGGGTTGTATATATGTAAGAACGTTCACTTCGTACAATTGCAATGGATAAAATTATTTACAATTTTTCCAGCTAAAACAGATACAATGTGAAAAACGAAAAGAAAGAAACACATAGCTGGTGTATTGTAAAAAAAATAACAGGATCGCAAATACAGAAATCTAGAATTTAGATTAATGGATAAATGATTATGTTTTAGAAATTCATGTTTCAGTGTAAAATTCGCCCGAATTTTAATTTTTATTCGTTTAATTTATAAATGCGAGGAGAGAAAGTAAACATATTGCATCTTCGATGAAAACAATACCATTATACGTTTGAACTAAGCATTGTATTTGTAGGATAGTGAAGTATAATCTGGGGTTTTATATTTTCCACACAATAATAGGCTTTTAATAAAGACCTTTATTCCCCTGCATACAAAGTCCAAGCTTACATGGCGCGATATATTTAGTCAAGTTCTAGTGGAGTCGCGAGGAGTGTATTGATAGTTATCAAGAAACGAATCGGCGCTTCGAAATGTAAATATTATTAAAAAAAAAGGGAGAAAATAGAAAAAAAATGTCGAAGATTTGGACTACTACTTCTATCGCGATCAATTTTTACATAAAGCTTGAACCTAGTTTGACTCTGTGCTAATGTAATTCATCGTACAAGATCTACATAAATTATAATTTAATAGTTTCTTTTGATTTCTAGTTTAAATTACACTATTGGACTTTCGTACGAATTTCATAAATTTGTACGTTGTAAATTACTTACGCGAACGCAAAGAAAAAAAAGGAAAATATTTCTTCTTTTCTGCGTTTCATGGACTGTGTATGCTTATTCTTAATAACTTAAAATAAGTGCACTCTTATAAAAAAGAATTAAACACATAATTTCTGAATCTATAAGGCTTTAACAAGAAAGAAAAAAAAAGAACAAAAAATACAGTGTTGTTTAATGGAACATCACGCGCGTCTCATTATTATCAAGCCCATTCCTTTCCAAGTTGATCGATAATTACACGCGTACAATTAATCGAAAATTTGTTGAATTTTTACAATGCTTGTCAAAACACAATCGCTTTTTACGCTCTATGCTTTTGTCAAGCAAAAGTGTATTAATTTTTTATATGTTAAGAGGAAATTTATGTAAACGATAGACTGTCGTACGCATTAATGCGACGTAGTGAAGTTGAGGATCATGAGACGTTTCTCGCTTGTTTGTATTATTAGAATGTACAAAGCATAATCTGTAATGTCTTATACGCAAAGAAAAGAAAACAAACGTGAAAAAACGTACATATAACTTCTATGCGTATAACATAATTATACATATATATATACTTGTATGTATGTATAATGTATATGAATTTAGAATTACAAACAGGCAAATGAATTCTTTGTATTCATGAATTATGGATTATGGTAAACATAAACAACATAAATAAGTGTACCTTATGTGATTGTATCGCGATTACGTCAAGCGATGTCAGACGTTTTTGTCGATGTTAATAATATAGAGTTAAACTAGATTCAAGCCATTAATTATAAGCAGTCTGAGACTTGCAATAAAATAAAGAGAAAGAACTGCACGGGACGAGAACGATTATTAATTATATCTCGGTATAAGAAGAAACTATTTTGCACGATGTACGGCCAGGAATATAAAATCCTAGTATTTTACTAACGTAATCCTTTTGTACATAGAACTTCATTCTCTAAACCTTTATATAAAAAATCGTTTCCAAATAAATCATAGTCTTAAAATTAATCTACATGTTCTTTTTATTTACTTATTGCGTTCTGACCATTTATTTTCTAAGCAATGTACGTACATTGTCAAATTCTGTTTAAAACAAAGACATTAGTAACTAAGTATGCAATGTATCATTTCATTTGTTAATGGCAATGAAAATTTATACATTTTGTTCACAAAATGGATTCTATAAGTTTCACCCACGTGGTAAATAACGATGAAAACAAACATGCACGATCTGTCCAAAGGGAACTTCAAAACATAATGCAATACACGAACAATGATTGGAAAATGTCGAACAGTTTTGTCAAATTTACCCAGAAAAATATGGTTCTGCAGTATAAATCAGCCTACATAGTCTGTGTTAGTACCTCTCTACTTTGAATAACAGCTACCAAAATAGCTCAACAATAACAATCATTTTTACAGCCTCGTAAAGATAAGTTACAAACTGTCTGTCCAACTGACATAAAATTTCTAAAACAAAGCGTTCAAGAAAACACAAAACCTAAATACACTGAAATATCACGCAGTGATGATTTCGAAGAATACAAAGCAGACCTAGGTACAAGACTGAAAATCTCATTTAAAATTGAATGAACTATCGAAAACTTTTCAGATGCACTTCCTAGCAAATTAACGATAGAACGACCAAAATTGAGAACCCTGGACGAATACGAAAAGCTGATGAAATTATCACGATTAAGGCCAACGATAAAACCTAGATCAAAGCCAACGCTATCGCATATTACGTCCTTGCCAAAACTTCGTATCAACAAGTATTTGTCAAAAACACATCAAAATTGATTTACGTTGTGTAGTTTTCAATACCATACGCCTGAATTAGCGAACGTTTCAAGTCACGGCCACATATGAGTGCTCAGGCGAGGAAGAGTATAATGAAAGCGGATGTTCAAAAGAAGATATTGGTAGCGAGTACGAGTTGCGTGCAATTTCGAAATTTCAAGCTCAAGAAGTTGTACAAGGTTTGTCTTGGTCGACTTCCTTTCCCGTGGACGTATTTCATAACCGACATTGTTGTTTGACAGAGGATAGTGACGTTACAAAACGTTAGCAACAAACCAGCAAGATTTCAAATAGAAAAGAGACCGTATCGTTCCAAGTTTCGGATTATAATAAAGCCGGTGATCGAAAACAGGAGTATTGTTCCACCAGGAATGCAGCTGCAATTGATCATTCTGTTCCGCTGTGACGATATCGATACGCCGGAAGAGATGTTGGTGTTGAACGTCCAACATGGGAAGCCATTAATCATTCGATTACGTGGATACAAGGATCCTCCAATTTTATTAGGTGAAAAATTACTGTAAATATAATAATTAATAATAAAATAATAAAATATAAAAAAAAACTGAAGTAACATGTTCCCCTGATTTTTTAAATAGGAACTTGCCTGTCAGAGAAGATCTCTTTCAGATACTCGGATACAGATTCAAATGCAGAATTGTTGGACCAGGTTTGGCATCCTGAGATAGCAATGTCATTCGATAATTTAGATGTACGATACATTCTGATTATTAATAACGACCATGGTAGCCTATTGTACCTCACGTCTGACTTCTTATGGTGCAAGGTCATTCTCCTGACTGCACTAAAAATGGTTTTGTATTTGAGATCTTCCTTTTTTTTTTTTATCATTATTTACACTTTCCGGACTTGTTCACTTTTTCGGTGTCGTCCTTCCTAAAATATTTATAAATTAAAAATAAAAATGATCGAACGATATAGTCGGGGGAATTGATCTTGCACGGGTAGAAATCTCGATTTTATAGCAAACAAATAATAAAGGAAGATTACTTTTACACATATTCGTGACCTTGATTTTCAGTCTACTACATCGAGTAGCACCGAGAGCCTATTCACAGACATACATGTAGACGATGATTTCGTAGGCATGACTTTCGACTGCAAGAAAGGTTTCATTGGCGAAGAAGTTTATATACCCATAAAATTGAAAAACGTCGGTGGAGTAGGACGATTCTTCATAATGAGCGAAATCGACTGGTTTTCTATGAATATCTTAGTAAAGTATTTTCCTATTCCTTCTATTAAAACGAGATTAAAAAAATATTCGTTTATTATACGTTTTTAATATCTCTATCTTTACCTCCATTCGTATCCTGACTTATATTTTCTGACAGGATATCACCGATAAAAATATTTTAAAATTACCCTGTTTTACCTTATGGCCTGCATACTTTTTATTGAAGGGACAAGAGGAAATAACATTCCACATGCATTTTTCGCCAGAATGCTATGGCATACACGTAAATGGAAAATAATTCGTCTTACTATAACAACATTATTAATTTCGTTCAACCCCATTATTCGATTATCATATTTATTTCTATTAGGTGGAAAAAATGTACATATTATGCGACAACTGTACTCTATTGGCAACGGAAATAATTGGAGATGGATTAATATACGAGCCGAATTTCATCCAGCTTAATAAAGTACCTATACTACAAATTTGATGCAAAATATAACTACGTTTTGTAATATTACGATCGCTTTGGGCACATGACAGAAAAAGCAATTAAAATCAGCAAAATTACAGCAACTGAGGAAAGTAAGACCATCCGAGAGAGACATCGATGAACGAGCTAATTACTACATAAACCTCAGTTCTAATACCACCGATGGTATCGAACAATGCATAATTGCCGTGAAAAATATGAGGTAATAATTTTCTTTCCAATATATCATAATCATATAAAGGGATTCCGATTATTTCCTACGCAGTGAAATAAATATGCATTTTCGCTGGAAGAAACGAAACATACAAACTGACAAGGAGATGATAAACGAAGAAAATTATTTCCCCTTTGAACTTCTTCACATTAAGCCAGATCGAGGAGTTTTCGCTCCAATGTCTGTTCACAATTTCACCATAACCGCTGAATACAAAGATCTCCGACCAAATTACTATCTTGCTGTTCTACAGTGAGTATGTTGCTTAAAAAAAAAAAAAAAAAAAGATTACGAATGACAACATTAATCTCAAAGTATTCTCAAATCAAATTATTTTTAGATTGTACGTAGAAGATATACCTCTTGAAGCGATTCCAGAAAATACAGATTTAGAAGTCGAGGAGTGTACGACAAAACGACGAAAATGCGCAACTGTAAAGCATTTTATTTGATATATTTATTGATTAATAATGGAAGGTTGAAAATGTTTTAAACGAGTACTTGTCACCAGTCTGTAGATATTTGGGTTGACGATGTCGAAGTTTGGTTGCACTACTTGATGGGCACCGAGAGCGAAACGTGCGTGGTTTTTAATGCTGAATTAATCAATAATTATAGATTTCCACTTTTGGAGGAAGCATGCCAATATTTCGCAAACACAATACAATTTATTCCACGAGGAATCGAATGATATGCTAACACTGTATCAACCATGGAATTATTTTTAATTAAATTTTGATTTTTAATTAATTTTAATTATTGGAATTATTTTTAAAATTTGATATTGTAGGCTCGTTAATGTCCTATTTTGTTAATATCCTATTGCTACTAATTTGCAAATAACCTATTTACAAAAATTCTCACTTGTTACTTCCTCCAATAGCGAAGAGTAAAATAATTATTGAAAATTATGTTTTAATTGACCAGTGATCGAACGTCTGAAGAGATCTTGAGACACATCATGGAAACGCCATCAGATTACGAATACCTTCAGCGAGATTACTATGAAGAAAAAGAAAAAAATGAAATAATAGACGAAATAGAAGCTGAGGAAGAATATAAATCAATGTGCCAATTGGTAAATCTTAATTTCTTACTCTTGTTTATCATTTAGAAAATCATAAAATCCTACCATACAGGTAACAGATGAATTATTTTCTCATTACGATCTGATGAACTTAAGACAATTCGAATCACTGTGGCAGGAGCATATAATAAGTATGGGCATCATTAGACCTACAAAGTTTGTAATTTCAAAATAATTCGCATTTCTCTAGAAAATTGTGTAATTACTGTTAAAATTATCGTGTACAACAGGATTTTGTATATTGGTATTGAAGAAACTTACATTTTAATATTAAGAAACCTCGCGAGTAACACTTTGAATTATTCTTGGGGTGAAGTTAATGGTCTAGATTCGACGATGATGGAACTTTGCGTGTGCCCTGAAAAGGGAGAAGTGTTGGCTGGAAATACTCAAAGAATGAAGATAACTATCACTCCCATAAAAGAGGTACTCAATATTTGCCTTCGTGATTTTCCAAAAATTTAATTTTGGAAGGAATATTTGATTTGATTAAACATTATTATTTCTTCTTCAATTTGTAGGGAATCGTGCAATCGTTATTTATACCGTGTTTCGTTGGAGATTCGCGGAAAATAATAATGCTGGGAATCGAGTGTGCCATTGAATCCCTTTATGTTACATTCTATTTTCCCTTAGACGACGAAATGCCGGTGGAGCTGAAGAATAATTTTATTAAAGTCGAGTGGCGAGCAGACAGTTTTCAACTTGCTTTCGACCTGGCAGGAAAATCTAAAAAGCACATGGTATGTTTAATCATAATTTTGGTAAAGATTGCGAATGAAAAAAAAAATACATTTTAAATTTTAAGTATCTTAATCTAAAATTAGCTTCAAATTTTCTCATAAATTTCTGTATTCAAAGTTTTCTAGGATAATCATCTGATATAACGTCTCATACATTTAAAGACAGAGATAGTGTTAAATATCGCTTTTTATGAGTTATGGCAACACACTTTGCACGTATGTTGTAAAATAATATGCACAATTAATATGATCGTTCGATTTTACAGAAGATATTAGACGTGTACATAATGAGGGAAGAACGAGAGTTAATGAACACGAATCTGGATCAGGGAGAGATTCTCAAGGATGCTGCAGCAGGTCCTTCAATGGAAGAAGTGACTGCTATGGAATCTGGCGAGCAATCCTCCACGACTATTCGTACCTCAGAAATCATTCAAGTAATTAAAAGTTATCATTAATTTCCTTCTAGTAAGCAGAAGATACCATGTGAAATACCGTAATGGTATAACGAGTATACTGAGTAATTGTAGATGAGCAATGTAATAACGGAAAATGAGAACAATTCGCACGATGTGGCTTCTTTTGGAAATATTGTTCCATTTTGTAAAAGATATCTACCATCAGTTCCACAGCCTGCTGTAATAGAATTTTTAAACCTGCCATTGAGAAAAGGTATCTTCATTAAGATACGATATCTATAAAATAGATATGAGTAGTTTAAAAAAAAAATAATAATTGCGATCTGCAGTGCAAAAGAAAACTTTTATAATAAAGAACGAAACATCGATATTGACTAATTTTTGGCTACGTATAAAGAACTATTACCCCATCACATGTTCATGCGAAAGGAAGTCGCAAGAGGATCGGATCAAGTTTATCTATAAACGCGTCTTTAGTCGACAAAAGGAATTAATTGGTAAGATATTAATTCTCTTGTTAGAACTTAATAGATTCCAAATATATTATTATCTTTGCAATATCTCTTTTGTTATTAGCGGAAACACTGTACAAAATAAAACAACCTGGATCAGGGGTTGTAATTTATGTTGCCCCATTAAATTCGGATATAGACTCTTTCAGTGCCATACCTGTGGATATTTACGTCTTTGCTGATACATGGGGTATTTATGTGGATGAATTAGAAATAAATATTACTGGCTTGCCATTGTACTCTATAGGAATATGTGTACAAGTCTTTGGATTACCAATTTCATTCTCAATTTCTGATAGAAATGAATTTAATATACCTGTTATCAAGTATGTTCAGAAATTTATTATGCTTTAGAAAGTGCAAAGTCAATGTTCTTAAAAGTGTGGTTGTAGATATGGTATTGAAGCTGTAGGTACACGTCTACATCGTAGAAAAGTGTTATTGACAAATACAAGTGTGGTACCTATAGTTATTGATTGGCATACATTTTTAGTCACACCAGCTGTAGAGACAAAGCCTTTTAATGTAGCATTTGATTTATGTACCCCATTTACCGATAAATTAGCATCAAGACTTAAAGCTAGTAAGCAGAAAAATGAAAGTGAATTACATTTAGAAGAACATGCAAATTTTCCATTATCAAAAAATTTAGATACGTGTGATTCTTTTGAAATCAGCAACATTACTGATATTACAGTGCCATCTAGTTACATGTAAATATTCTAAATACTAGTATAATGATTATTAATAAAACACGATTATATTTATGTATTACTTTAGGAAGTTTCCATTCGTGACATCAGCCTACATGTCTAATAATGAAATTTTACTTAAACACCTTCCTAGAAGTTTCACTAATGACTTAAAAAGAAATTATAAACACACAGAAAATGAAATATATTCAAATTTCTATGCATCTGATCAAAGTGAAACAGAAGAGAAAAAAACCATAGAATTAAAAATTTTAATACTTCCTTACTATGGTTTAATTGATACAAAAATTTGCACAGTAAAAAAATACTTTTATTATAATAAACTATTTAAGAAAGAGTTCTAGAAACATGAATGATAAAGAAAATATTTTGATACCTTCCAAGGTTACACCCAGAGAAATGTTCATTCTACCTAAAGGTAATGCTTCTTTAACTATTGACATACAACTTGAAAAATATAAGGAAATTAATAAAATAAATAAACTCATTGAAGGAGAATTTTTTTGTAAGATTATAGGACTTCTGCGACTTGCCCCAAGTGATGTGTTTGTAATTAATTGATAATACAAATTGATTTAAACTATTCACAGTGAATTACAGGGTACTTTATAATAATGATAGGTACAAGGATAACTTTTATGCTAGACAGATTGGGACCTACTTGTCTTCTATAGAACTTGATGTTACTGCAGATATTATTAAACCTCAATTAGATTTCAATATTTCTAAATCTGATAGGACATTTATATGCTATGCTAATGAAGTAATGCAAAGTCGTAGAAAGAGATTAGAGTATGTAAAAATACAAAATACATATATTCTGATTCCAGCAGTAATTATGTATTACTAGACTACATCTAATATTTTATTTTTTAGTCTAACTAAAACATTTTTCTTGTATAATAATAAAAGCAATATAATAGAGATAACTTTGGAAACGTTTGAACCATTTCACATTAAATCTGTTTCAATTTATGCAGAAACAAATTTATGCAAGTCAGGAACTATATGCATAAATCCAAATGGATGTGCTGAAGTAATTTATATCTTTATTTATTATAATAGAAAGTTGTAAATATTATTTCTTTATAGGTAGAAATAGTATGTGTTGTAGAAGAAGAACTAATTCAAACCATAATAAATACAAGTTCAAGTCAAGATTTACATAATCCAAAAATTACAATAAAGGAACTATTATACATTATATACTGTGATAAACGACACGAGGTATTAATAACCTTTCTCTATTGTTTGGCTTGAATTAACACAATTATATATTAAATTTATATAATTTCAGAATGTGGAATTAATTTTGCAAATATATTTGCCAGTTTTAAAACTATCATCATATACATTAGATTTTGGTCTTGTTTATATACATGATACAAAGAAATTAACATTAACTATCAAAAACTTATCAAGTATATTCATATTTGTTATCTTTTTTAGTAATTATATAGAATAATATCTACAATAATATAGTACTTTGACTAATTTTGATTTTGACAGTCTGCAGTTTAAAATTTACAATAAATAAGAAACACAAGAACAAAAATTTTATGATTGATCAAAAATGTGTAACACTACCAAATCATTATAGTCATGAAGATTGGTACACAATCACAGTTTCTTTTCAACCAAAGTAATTTAATTAATTATAAATATTTTGTTGTTAATTCTACTAATTATAATACTCAATAATTACTGTATGGACAGAAAACCAGGACAATTAGTTGAAACATTAGAAATAGTAACAGATATTCCACATAATACAGAAGAATGTCAACTTTATGGAGAAGGTACATTAGATGAGAAATATCATACTCTGAGTGTATAAATGGAAAAATAATTCTAAATCTAAAAAAATTGATTCATTGAAAATAAAAAAAAATTTGCAAACTGAAATTAACTTAATACATAGCGTTATTAGTAGGATTATACTGTATAAAATGATAAATGCGCAAAATAGAATATAAATATTCATACCGATAACATAATTCCAGGATGTTACATAAAGCGCAATACAACAGGAAAATTGAAACATTTTAACTCAAAACATATTGACACTTAGAGTACTACTACTCTTACTCGTAACCGGCTTTTCATTATTTTGATGAATATTTACTTTTTATTTTTACAAAAATGACAACGATTTAGTTAACACGATATAATTATATTCATTCACGACAAAATTAAAAAATATATGAGCACGAACATAACTTTATATGTGATCTTAATCAATGATAAGATACTTTGTTTTTCTTTAATTACATTATTGGAATTTGTAATTAGGGGACAAAACGCATTTTTGCTCTCATGAGCGTAGGCCTTTCTATGAACAACGTCTATTCACCTATACACTTTCGGAATTTTTGATGACTTACTGAGTTCCTTGGTATCGCCACCTACCGAAGTAAACGCGAATCGTCGAAGATTTTCTCCATCACGTGACCGGCTTAACCAATCGGAGAATTTTGCGGGCCCTATACGTGGCATAAGGTATGAATCCTTTCCACGTCCGCCATTTTGACATACGGTACTTTTCGAGAGTGTTGGTTTTATGTTTTATCGTTTCTCGTGAAAATAATCTTTTTTACTGAAACGTAAGTAACGTAAGTGGCTTATACGGGCAACGTGACATTAGGGGAAAGTCTCAATACTCAAACAACGTTTTTAAATAATGGAACTTTGAGCGGGGAACCTTTGACGATTTGCTGGGGAGTAGGTCGAAGGTGACAGACAACCGGGTGTACGAAGTGGCTTCGCAAACCGCACAATATCTTCCGCCTTGCTCGCAATACTTCGGTATTGGCGTTTTAGGTAGCCGATCACGTTTTAAAAGTGAATAGATCACCAGCAAAACGCTCTAGAGTGATCCTTAACGGTATGCTAGTCCGATAATCATAGCGATGTATTAAAATGAGAATCAATAGCGGGCAGCGTGAGCATCTCGTGCGTGCCTCTACACAATTTTTTTTCTCGTTCAGTTCAATTAAAATCTATGATTTACGTTGTTCACAATATTCATACTTTACCGTTAGTCTCTCGGAAATATGCAGGTTAGCTTTTTGAGCTTTGTGTCAGCGTATCAGTATTTTACGCATGTTTGTGCTCTTCAGCTCCGTCTATGTAATTTCGTTTTTTTCATGTACGAAACGTGTCTTTTGTTCACTCGTACATACATATTTAGAATTCGTTACTTTAGTTGATTGGCCCGTTTTTTTTGTTCCATTAAAGTTATAATTTATTTCGAAATTATATTATTATTATACGTTGATCGTATATACCTTGTATTGTTACATATGTCGGGTACATATTTCTTCAAACAAATTTTAAATATCAAAATTATACGATATTGTACGATAAATAAGTTTAGATAATGTTATAATTTCATAATCATGTGTTTCATTCTTCGTGTTTTTACAAACGATGCTCGTGCCCTTGTTAGTAATTTTTCAATAAGTTATTTATTCACAAATGTTTATACATATCTTTGAAAAAAATACAATTATATTGTATATATAAAAGTTGTTTAGCTTTACAAAGAAGTTTAACTTTACTTAATGAAAGAATAAAAAGTTACGAGATATACATTTAAATAATTAGTGATATTTCAATCACGTGGTATATACATTAAATAAAGTATTACTTTATTTTAATTAAGTTTTTCAAACAATTTATTTTTATTTAATTTTATGTATATGATTCTGATATTTTAGTTTATTATTTTGTTATTCTAGGTATTTACATAATCAGCACTAGCCATGGGGAATATGTTTGCAACATTATTCAAAGGCCTTTTTGGCAAAAAAGAAATGAGGATTTTAATGGTAGGCCTTGATGCAGCGGGTAAAACCACAATTCTGTACAAATTAAAATTAGGGGAAATTGTTACCACAATTCCTACTATAGGTAAATATCAAATTTCTTTTATAGATTTAAATATTGTAAATACACACTGTTGATATTTATGTTTTTCTTAAATATGTATAGAAAAGAACATTTGTATATTTCACAACATAGTTCACTAATTATACATTATGAATTTTAGGCTTCAATGTAGAAACAGTTGAATACAAGAATATAAGTTTTACTGTTTGGGACGTGGGTGGTCAAGACAAAATCAGACCTCTTTGGCGACATTACTTTCAAAATACACAAGTATGCAATTCATTGATAAAGTTGCTTTTTGTGCTGTTGATTAAATTTCAGTAAGTTTCATAAAACTATGTTAATTAACTAACTTTTTACTTTCAGGGACTGATATTTGTCGTCGATAGTAATGACAGGGAACGTATCGGTGAAGCACGCGAAGAATTGATGAGAATGTTAGCAGAAGATGAACTTAGGGATGCAGTACTCCTTATATTTGCTAACAAACAGGTGAGACAGTTTTTATCATTAATCTATATAGAATTGTCTTTTATTTTTATGTATTAGAAGTTAAAATGTTTTAAAAGCGTGTAATATTTATTATATAAACATTGTGTGTTATTTACATAAAATTTAAACATGCCAGGGAATTTATTAATAAAGTACACGAAGAAATAGATTTAGAAAACAGATTATATATTTAAGGCGGTTTTTATTAAGTAATTTATGTTTTAGGATCTCCCAAATGCAATGAACGCAGCGGAAATTACCGACAAGTTGGGGCTGCACTCTCTCCGCAATCGCAATTGGTACATTCAAGCAACGTGTGCTACAAGTGGAGATGGACTTTACGAGGGCCTCGATTGGCTCTCTAATCAGCTCAAAAATGCCAATCGCTAATTGGAACGTTATTCTGTCAACATTCAGTTGCTATATTAACATCATAAAATCAGCTGCACACCTATCCCCCCCATGAATGAATAATAATATAAAAAGAGGTAACACTAAGTGCAAACCATGAGATCTTTTTTGATCTTAAAGTGGAGGGTGGAGATTGTCGAAAGTTGTCATTGTGCCAGGATGTTTTTTGGGGGGAGGGGAGTGGGGAAACCGGCCGGAAGCACACATTCGAACGGCCACACAAGACTATTGCCTTGTGCAACTTATTATTATAATTATTATTATATTAGCATTATAGTTACACTTTTTACACAGAGATACCACGAGAAATGTGGAAAACTTGGAAGTAATTGTATTAAAGTACCTAACTCTGAAACATACAATACACATTGATTAATTAATAAGTTGAATATCTTTAAAAAAAAAAACTTAAGAACAAAAAAGTGAAGTACCCACGGTGTTGTCAGTTTGAATGCGTTGGGCATACTGATTATCATAATGTAGCTGCATATTGTACATTACATTATATAAATACGATGATAAAAATGTGATCAATAGATGAGAGAATATTGCTCTGTCCACTACATTACAAATGTCACATCGGCCCATCAGTTGACATGAAAAATGCAGTGAGTGGTAACTGACGGTGCAATGACTTACTGTTTCTAGTTACAAAAGTTTGTTTCTATTTTTTTAAGTTTTCAGTGGTATACGTCGACAAAAAAAGTAAAAAAAACAAAACTATACAAAGTGGTTGTCTTACTGCTTGTGACTATCAGCAGGTGTTGTAATTGCACCCTCCTTCACCTGCTCGCGATAAACCTAACAGTCGGTCAACCATGTATATCTCAGTGTAAAAGAGATATCATTTATTTATTGCACCTTGATAAGGTAAAATTAGAATATTGTCAACATTCCGAAATTATGCATCGATCGTGGCGGGAAATGCAGATAAAAAAATTTGAATGAAGAAAAATATGAAAGATGGGAAAAATGTGGAATAAAGTAAAAAAGTAAAAAAAAAAAAAATTAGGAAAGAACCTCTCGCAGCAAAGAGAGATAGGCCTCGCAATTTCTAAGCCAGCAATCCAAACTGGTATGGCAGTTTGCCAGATGAAGCCATTTTCGCAAAGCCCTTCAATCTCCTAATGTTTTCCTATCCTTAAAAATACATTGTTTTTACGAAATAATCTTCCCCTAATTGATCAAATCGCCTTTCCGTCATATGCGAAGATTCGTATAATTATATATGAATGTTTAAACGATTTGTGAAATATACTGTAATTGTGCTTTATGTAGTCTATATGTTATTTGCCGTTAAAATAGTTTGTTTTTGTTCTGGCTGGTTCATCAAAGAGAAATTATGGAAAGTCCTGCTTTCGGGGTGCATGCATATTGTGCAAGGAATGGCAAGGATGTAGGAACTTTTACAACGATACGTGAACCGATAACAGAAATTATTACTATTGTTATTTACACCGGACGAAAACAAACACACCTCTATCCTCGTGGCTTCGCGCTCAGCCTGCACGCGTCCCTTCTTCAGATGATGGTACTTCAGTTACACAAGCACGATTACCTTCCTTTTTAATTACTAAAGACTGTGCACCGCCTATATCGCATGTTTCATTTAGCAATATAAGTTCCCCTTTTTCTGAACAATTAACGATACATTAGTTGTGGATAAATTATGAATTTTAAACTTTCATTTTCATTTTTTTAAAAACAAAGGAAAAAAATTTGTAACATTTTCTTTATAGAAGTATACTTATATATGAGAGATTCTTTCGATTTCTAATAACGTGTGTATATTTAATGACTGAAGATAATAGGGATTTTAATGAGGATATTATTTGCTCCAACTCTGTCAGAACAAAAATAAAGAACGTAATATTTAAAATGTACTATATGATTTTTTACCGACACTACGGATGTTCAACTCATTATTAAAGAAGATATGCTTTTATCATAAAGCATTGTTGTTTTTTCAGAACTTGCATTCATCTTCATTAATAGTGAAATACTGTATTGAAAAATCATAAACAGCCGTAAAAGAATTATAGACAAGAACTGCTGCGTAGTTTGTGTTTAATTTGTTTATTATATACGTGTGCATAGAATTTTGTAGTACCAATGAATGTTTCTTTTTTTACTTGAACGTGTATGAATTTGCTTCATATTTTTATATCGATACATTATTTTAATTACCGTTCAAATTAATTAGAAATTGATATTAAAACTTTTGTATTATATATATATATATAGACAACGATAAATGGGTTAAATACTTATAAGTTACATTCATGACATCGCTCCTATGTGCATGACCTCAGTGTCGTGACATTTTCTCGCGTGTAATCTTTGGTGTATGAGTAAGTACTCAATACGGTGTATTGTCATTTAGCTTCAAATGTACATTATCTGCACGAGTGTGAGTGAATCCGGTTTCATTAAGTCTTTGTTTGATAAATAAACGAAATAAAACCATTTCAACCTTAAAGAAAAGTTAAATTTTGCGCGCTATTGCAAAATTCGAGATTCGTTTATTTTTATTCGACTATTCAATTAAGATTTATGTATATGACGAAAAAGTATTTCACGTACAGATGTTTATACAAATGTATTAAATAAATCTTTAGTCTAGTACTGACTTAGATAGTCATCAAAACTATATAATTGATATTTATATAATTAAAAATGATTTCTTGATAAATGACAGACTTAAAAAAAGCGGTGAACATGTGTAATTAAATGTATACTTTTATTGATGAAAATTCATGATCTCTAATATTTTTATCAAATATTTATATTCATAATGTACAGTAGAAGTTAACGGAATTCTGCAGATTTATTCACATTTTTATGTGAAGATATTAAAAGTAAAAATATCTTAAAAATTTTTTATGAATGACATAAAACAATATATGATAATACATTAATTTCGTCTTAAAGGCAAATTATAATCAATTAAGATATTTTAACAATAAATATACATTTTGTCATTAACGTTACGAATAATTAGTACAATGATTAAATCGATTTATTAGAGAGGAAATCATACTTCATTAACATAAACTATAATATCGATATAGCAATAATTCTTAGCGCTTTTTATTTCATCAAAAGCTACAATTACGAAAAAAAGATGGCGCTATCAATCAAATGGGGCCACCCGTTATTCGTATCTATCTAACTCACTTCCTATTCATCACGTTCATGGTTCCCGTGCACTGCGTTTGGAACGCAGATATGGCTTGTGAAACAGCGCAAAGCCGGTGCCTCTTATATTTTTAGAATTATTAACAACCTGCAGAGTAACGATCACGTATTGAATGTCAGACGAAGCTGTTTGTGATAGATACGCCTCGCAGACGGCGCCAGGCTTCTCGTTGGCAATAATGAAGCGTTCGGTACTCGTCATCGCGGCCTTTTAGATTGCGCGCGCGTGCACCTCTTTCCAACCTCCACGTAAACTGTTGAACACCGAATAAAAAATAGCAAGTGAAAAGTTCGTCAATTACGGACAACAAGGTAAGTGAAAATCCTTCGCGAAATGGTAATTGTTCGCACGGCATACACGTACATTAAACACTATCGTTTCAACTTCGAGGTTATCGTATGCACATACACACAGTGCATCACGAGACAGGATATGAATGTCTTTAGACGAGTTTCCTTTCACTGCTTGAATAAAAACCAGTGGCACATCATGTAAAGGTAAATTTTAGTTGATAACAACAAAATTTTTCCATGTTATTCATAATTTTTTACAAACATAATAAGACATTGCTCTACGCATGCCAATTAAAGCGAGGACATTAAGAAACGTTTCACTCGACACCTTGCAGTGTTACACTGCAAAACAACAATCAACTAATTTAATATTAAATTTAAAAAGAAATATCATTACGTATAATTTTTCAGATTCTCGGTATGTAAATATCCGCGTATCCAAGAAAATCCTGCACTTGTATCTTCCTCATTCATCATGTCTTAAAAGTCAATTTTCCTTCAACGCTTAAAGGGAAACGTTTAAAACAGATATATCAACGTCGAATGTAAAAATCTGTCGGTATATGCAATTATTGTTATTGATGGCGCTCTATATCTAGATCATGTCAAAATTTGAACGACTTTCGGCCGTGAAAGCTTCAAGTATAATGCATTTCATTGTCAGGATATGTTTAGCGAGATGTTTTCTTCTGACATGCGGTTGCAATGCGTTCATGATTGCTTCGCCATCTTGTCCTCGTAGAATGACGTTGCCAAAAATGCGACTCTTGAAAACTCCTGACCGGGCCACTCTATGCATCGTACGATAAACTGTTTGAGTTTACATGACCGTCTGTGTTTTCCCTTCGACGAGGCATGGTTATCAATTTCCATCGGACATTGGAAAAATATTATTCCAACTCGAGGCCAGATTGTTACTACGCAGCCAGGCGAAATTCCGAGGGGATGATTTTTTAAGCCAGTTTTCACACTTAGAAATTTCGGAGGTACTTGTCAAGTCAACCTTTCACCAAATAATCTTCTAGGCTGTAATTGTTATTGGAACAAATAATTCTATATATTTGGATTGAATTAGAGGTTCAAGACATACATAACCTGAAGTATTTTATAAAATGTTTTAGCCATTGAGATAAACGAGGCGATGTTGATATGAAACGTAAAATGAAAAAGGTAAATAAATAATTTCACATTATACTTCAAAATATTTCTTTAGATATTAATTCTACGGATATAAATATTTCAGGAAATGCCTACTTTGTACTGAAGCCTAGATCCTGTCACGGAAACAAGTTAAATCACTGGTATCTAGTGCATTGCGTTCGATTTTTTGTCATCACTAGGTTGTGATAAAGATTACAACTACGTACAGTTAAATCGGGGGCGAGATTTTAGCTGTTTTACTTCATGGTTATCGGCTGTGCTATGCAAAAACATAACGTACACGTACATAATGCTACGAGAATGGCGCCAACATTCCCATCTGACGACGTATATGCGCTGTAAAATGTTGGATCGCGTCGCACTCGGGTGCCGATAACGGCCGTGCGTGTGGGTGGTGTGCTACATAGGGAATATAAGACTGAATCGGTGGCGGAGAACGCAAGTCCGATGTATAATGTAGGTAAATTCTAACGGCGTGCAGGAATGTCGCATAATTCAGCTATTAATTGACGCCTGATTGCCACTCATGCAAATCCGATTAATGGAAGCGGTGATTGTCGAGAAATAAATGTTTCTCAGCTGCGTGTAGAGTTGTTGCCTTTGACATTTTCAGCGTTGTTCATTCGATGAAAATCGGCCTTTCCATCGTCCTTTGGTTGGTCGTTAATTGGCGCCACTGGAACTAAACTATTTATAATCGCGCCGTTTATGACCGATGTATTTTCATGGGCGCAAAAAGCGGAAATAGGTTTATGAGTTCGATATCAATTTCGCGAACGTCACGATTGAACATAGGCTACGTGATTTACTGATTGCTCTCGCCACGCGTACCACGCATAATTTATTTTACAGCCCCGTAATTCACGTCGTCCACTCGAATTTACTGATATAGGCTATCCACTCGGACATGCCGCTTTTGGATGATGAAATAAATTTTGTTACTGTACTGTGATCGTCTCTAACTGGGATATTTGTATCAGTGATTAGAGGAACATGCTGAAATTACAGGTTTAATGGTCACTATCGTCTTTTAAAATCCTAATGAGTGTCAATTTGCATAAATCAGTTGCAATTTCATTGGCACCCGTTATTTCTATAAAATAATTTCCGTTAATTAACAAGTCACCGTAAAAATTTATCTCAACTTTCACATTTGCTATTCTCTTCTTTATTATAGAGAAATACCAACCAATCGCGTTGATCTAAAATCTAACCTCAATTTTACTGGTCTTCCTAAACTTTCCAAAAATCGACATAGGTATTTCCATCGAATTTAAATCTTATACTATCAGTTTCGTTACAGCTTGCAATCAAGAATTTATCGTTCAGAATTATTTACACGAGTCATCGCATATTTCGTCAAATGACTCAAAACACGTCGGAAGTCCAATAACCAGAATATGGAAGGCAGATGAAGCACTTGATAAAGTTCTTGCGGAGGCACCCGAAATCCCTGTCGACGGTTCCTGAAATATCGGCAGTCAATTTCGACTGTGTACTTTATGGCGAACTCGGCGGTCTTCCAACATTCCTTTCATACGCTTCAGAGAGTTACGAGCCATCGATCTTACACGTGTGCAGATAGCCGGCTGGATCCTTCGAGAGATAACTTCCTTCGCGAAAACTCTGAACTGACTTTTCGTCGCCGGTGATCTTAATGTTCGCGTAACGTGAATAACGTTTCGATGCGTATCGGCCATTTAGGTATAAGTCACTCGATGCATACGCGGGAAATTTACATAAACACGTGCACACGAGAGCTGAAACGTATCCAGCGTAAAGCAGCGAGGAAGGATCGGCGCGGTAACGATTGTGCGCGTGTAGGAAGAATAATACCTACGACGTCGTGCGTACAGTCAACTGCAATAACGACGATTTTAGACGCTGTTTTATGAACTGCTTGTAACTTAAATCTATGTTGTTCAATAGTTCCTTTCGAAACATGTTCTATTTATAAGTTCATGTAAAAATTTGGTGATGCAATTGCGTGTGTAATGAATTCGCGATTGCAAATATTATTTTATTGTTCTCGACGTTAATTTGAATAACCAAAGACTTGTTATCTTAAAAACTTCATTTATATTTCCTTGTTTGTATCATAACGGAAATAATAAAATTGGAGAAGGTTATCTGGCGTGAAAAAGTTGTTCGAAAATATCGAATAATAATCTTGGTAGGGAACAAGATTTTTCAGTAAATCGGTGTTGAAAATTCACTGCGTGCATGTAGACTTAGATGTGGCGCCACCTATATGACGACCCAGCGAACTTCGTTGTACCTATTTGCATGATAGTTCATTATGTATTAACCAGCGGAAAACGAATAATAGAACGAGTAAGTTTTGTTTCTCTAAAAGTTACTTCCCTGTTAATATAAAAGTTGTCGGTAGTACTTCTTCCTTTTGTGCTATAATTGTAAATATTAGAAATTATTATACGTTATCAAATTACTGGAGTGTAATATTAATTCGCATATATAACCGTCTTGTGCAATAGCTAGTTCACATCCTTTCTGAATTAATTGAAACCGTTGATTGTTATCAGTGATACTAACTACCCTCATGATATATATTGTGTAAAAATTACTGATAGGTTAGTTGTGCTAGGTCGCGTCTTTTTGCGTGAATTGGTTTGAACATCATTCGACGGATATGTCGATCTAATTCTAAGAAGAGCCGGGTCGGCATGAACAGTTCAAAGTGTTCTGGCGTTACTGTACGAGCGAGTGTGCGTGATAATCTCATCGGAGCGTACATGAATACGCGAATGCATATGCGGCCAGAGGCGTGGACTAATAGATCCACGCGAACGTATATTTGTGGATGCAGAAGGGCGAATATTTCTGCCTCGAATACGTAGGCCTGGAAATTGCAGGGTGTGTACTTAGACCGATTATGCACATATATTAAGAACGCTTTATTTACATACGTGTATTTCATGTTTATGTACTGGAAGCATAGTGGAGAAGTCGTTGACAGTGCTTGACGTCAGAAGAACAAGAAACAGTTTTTTCTTAATACACCTTTTTCGCATGACTGAAGTTCTTTCATAACGCTATCATAGTAATGAAATTTTTAAATTTAGTTTAACAACTATTTATCAAAGATATACTTAGTTATTTTTCAATCTACTCACGATCAAACGTTAGACAATTTATTAGTTAACCTCCAATTTCGGCCAATCTCAAATAGTTCGTGTAGATTTCGCACCTTAAAAATAATAGTATGTTTTATAATAGTCTTTTTTACTTTTATTTAACAGTATAGTCGTTAGATTCTTTATCTCCTTTATATGATATTACTTTAATTCCTTCGTTTACAATGTCATGTGAGACACGTGGTAAGAAACTGTAAGAGCCGTGGTGTAGGTAGAGCCCAATGTAATCATGGGTCAGGTGACTTTCAACGACGTTTTTCTGTCTCAGTTACGTGTTATTCTTCACAGAGATCGGACGAAATGGCTCGTCGTGTCCGTAGTGTCTCGACGTATTCAACGCTACTGTTGACTATGGCACGCGCCATCGGTATCATGATAAAGTAAGGGGTTAGCTCCAACTGCCGTATATTAAATTTTCGTGATACGTAACTGCAAAAAAAGAAATCAGAAATATTTTGACGAGTAAATATATGTAAGTATAGAAAACTACGTAAAATATTTAGAGTGCGTGATATTGTCAACGATCAACTTAATTAATTGATCGAGAAGAAAGTATCCGACTTCGAGCTCCTATTTTCTTGTTTCAAATAGAAAAACGTTCTCGGTCATGAACGTGCACTTGTAAGCGAGTAAAGATAGTCGTTTCCATAAAAGACTTTCAGCATTTAGAATCATAACAAGTATCTAGAATTATCGATAATAGCACTGAAATCGCAAATGTCGAACACAATAATAAGAGGTTAGAATCACTGTTCTAACAATACGCTTGATGCAAGAATTTACGAGCAGTTTCTAGTCTCCGACTGTGACATGAAAATGTACAAAAGTATGACTAATTAATTGTTTAAGTGAAACGCCGGTGAAAGCTGGTCGATTATAACCGATTGACGTTTACGATAGATACAGCATTCTTTTTCTTCCACGATATGTATATGTATATACCATGTGAGTTACCGACCGAGTAGCTGCTGAAAAATATAATCGTGCAGCAGTGATTGCGTCATATGGTAGTGTCCATGGTGAGAACTGAAATAATCCTGAAATTATCGCGATCGGTATCGAGACATATTTTAGATAATCGTAACAATTAACCGACGACGGGGTATTGCGCACTCGGTAACGAAAATTAATTTTCAGGAATGTTGAATCGTGAATGAATGGATAATTTATCAAAATGATGAAATTACTCTGTTATCGGAATACAACTCGTTCAACAATCGGGTTTAGTGCCAATTTAGAGCAGAATAATACACACGGACTACGATTACCAGTAGTAAAAACTCAATTTCTTACGTCATTTATCGCTAAAATCTTATATAGCGTACAAAACAGTTGATTCGTATCTAGTGGAAAACGTGGTTCTATTCTCGATGGTATTTTAAACCTAACTTACAGACTTGCGACTATGGAATGTACTAACTATTCAAACTTAGGCAATGATTGAGGTTAAGAAAATTTGTTGTCGTTTGATAAATTGCGACACGAGTAATTTGGAATTTGGAATTGTTGCAATTTGGTGTAAAAATGAGGTTGAGGTTAACTACATTTAACCATAATTAATCCTGAGCAGTATAGGTTTAGTGGTAGACATTGAGGTTAGGTTTACAGAATCACGAAATCATAAAAAAAAATGTTATTAAAACACTTAAACGAAGTACAAAATTGCAAAAGGAAGCAAAAGATAGTCAAAGTGAAATATTTTCAAAACTTCTTATTTCTTATTTCTTCCTTTTCCGAATAATAGGGTAGAATAATAAGTTTCGTCACTGAATCTGGATACTAATCCCGCAAAAAGAGCAACAGAGTAATGGAAATTCGCGTTTCGCGAAGAACCAGCACGGAACTAGTTTATCAAAAACGAAATTTTAATGATCAGCCAGTTTATTTTACTTTCATTGATGATTTATGCGTAATGCTATCTCCTCTCACGATGGTGCGGAGGTTGGTGGGAGGTGCGGGGAACGTTAGAGACCATGAGCGAAAGAAAAAGAAGAGACACACGGTTGTCATAAATATCGAGTCTGCTTTCTAAACCCGTCGCTTCTCTTAAAAACTAGCCTTACCACTGAACCTCTAAATCGAACGACACCGAGTCAGCCGTGACAAGTGGACATGCCGCGACGCGATACGGGGCTCGATTTCGCGCCGGCCATTCACGACTCCACCTGAAATTAAGATCGATTTCACGTCTAACGAGCGTCGCCCTGGCCTGGGTGTCGTTGGACAAATAAGAAGGGCGGGGAAACGGAAAGATGAGATTGAGCCGGTTGGTCGTTCAACCGAGCCAGTTACAACGGACGGCGCCCATGATCCGGTCAGTTTGGTGAGAAACGTGAGAGTAAGTCGCCCGTGATGCGAGGGAGTGAGACAGACGGATTCAGCAACGAAAGAGGGACAGAGAGAGACGAACAAACGACGAACGAAAAAACACGAAGGGGATGGAGTGAGACTCAGATGCGAGACAAGATACGAAGACACGGTTGGAAGTGAGGAAGAAAAAAAAGCGCCAAGAGAAAGACCACGGTGCGAGAAAGAAGGGAAAACGCGGTTGAAAGAATCGAACGAGAAGAGAGAGTGGAAAACGTAGGAAGAGGAACGGAGGTGGTATGACTGGCTGGGAAACTGGCGAGCAAAAGAGGGAGAAAGCGAGTGCGTCGAATACGTGGGATGGATAATACTTCCTTGGCGCGTGTAATGTACTCGTCCGGCGGCGCCGGCGCCTGCATGCATTGCTCTTTCTCTCTTTTTCTCTGTCCTGCGGTGAGTATTTCACTCTCTGTCTT